ATATATATATATATATATATATAATATAAAAGTGGTGTGTATAAGGTATGCTTATATATAATAATATAATTAACATTAAAAGCAGTATTAGTACCGTATCAAATTGTTCAACGTTGAATCCACACACCAAAAACATAAAATTAGAACATATTGGTTGGGTAAATGCTTTTTCCGCGCACACTAATTGTTGAATTGCTTTTATGAAATCGTCATTAGGATTGAATTTGTGCAAGCCGATTAAATTCCAGAAATACTGTAATCATGCATTCATATTGTTAGATACAGATAATATTTGAATTTGATTAAAATCAATTTTTTTATCCAAAAATTATGTACATCAATTTCGAAGGAAAACTGTGACAGCACTTGCAAGGGACTCTTCATCCTGCCGCAATAAGCGATCGGGGACAGAGCATACATCTCCTGGATATATTTCTGATACTTAGGTCGTTCTGTCGCCATGACAAAGAAGGAGGTGGTACCTTGGCTGTGTCCTATATAGAACATATTTTTTTGCGGCCAGTGGTCTTTACAATATAATTTATCATTGCTGGAAGATCATATACGCCAATCTCGTGCCAGCTGCAATATGCAATAGGAGCATGCACTTGCATGAATTACTGCGTTTAAAAAAAGCAAAGTACTAAAAGCAAAGTCGAAAATAAAATTCTTATGTGCCAAATTTTAATTATTATTATATAGATTTTTATTGATATACTTTTATATATGCAACTTTTATATGTAATGCGCTTTTTATGTAATAGTTTTGTTCGTAAATATGGAGATATTAATTTTTGTATAATATGTTTAATGTGTCTTTCGAAGATAAATATGAATTTTAGACTAAGATTCTTCTCGCGAATTATCATCTTATTTATTTATTGTTGAAATCCAGAATAACTAATGACTGGATAAATAATTATAAATAATGACTAAACTTTGTTGAAAACTTTTGTGACAGTTTTATTGCTACAAAAATGTCTTAATATTTTTTTAATCAAGCTTTAAATTAAATTTTTTACGAAATCTTGAACTTAAGGCGAAAAATGGTTTTATTACATAGTCTTTAATTTTTATAATCATTAGTCGAAGACTGTAAACTTCATCATTACCAAAGAAGAAATTAATTCCGTTATAAAGTGAAAAGAATAATTATGACAAAAAGATTTTCAAATTATTCTGATTTGTTGTCTATTGTCTACATTTACTATATGTCTAAATGTAGAAATATCATAGTAGATTTGATTATAAACACATTATACCTATTAATCTATCTTACTGTTATGAAATTATCATACCCGAAATTGTGATTAATACAAGTGCAAGTTAAGGAAATAAAGGATAAGTATTATATAATATATAGTTTTGCATCCGTTATCTACACATATTAAAATTATTATTACTTTAATTATAATATATTAATAAATCAAGTAAAAAAAAATGATTTTTTATTTCAGATATATGTATATCATTATTTATTAGATTAATTCTAATGTTATCAAATTTAAGTCTTGATGTTATTAGAAAATTATATTATGTGTTCAAAAATTTACGAAATTTTTCAAATTATTTTATTTTATTTATTCTTTACAAAACTTATTTTCGTTAAAAAAGGGGTTAAGTTTACCCATATGTGCACGTTTAAACTTGAGCTTCTCTTATCTAGCTATTAGATTAGATTAAAGTTATTAATATTTTTACACTGTAATTCTCTACATTATTTGCTAATTTAAATTTCATTTTAATTTCTAACCATTCTGTACGAATGTCGTATTTATTTTGTATCTTTTTCTTTCTATTTTGCATACACACATGCTTGCGTACATACACATGTACATCAATTCTCACCTGAAGTTCCAATAAGTTTTCGGCTCGATTTTATCGGATGTATGATTATTAGAGTATAAATTGCCACGTGCATTACCGAGCCATACATCATACCCCTCATCTGCCAGAAGAAACGCTATAATGTCAATATCAGAATGCAAGGATAAAAACAAGTGTGTTAACTAGTAGTGTAAATAATGAAGCGAAAATTGATAAATATCGAATCAATGGATTTTTTTTCTTCCTGAATATATTAATACATACAAATTTCAACTGTGAAATAACATAAGACTTTTGCACAGTTTTAGTTAATATCATATTAAAAATATTTCAATATCTTATTTTAAGAAATTTTAATATTTTATCTGAAATAGAAATAAATTTATGCGCGCAGTATACATATATTTATGATTGTCATGATTAGAATGAAAGATTAAATCCTGTTTGTCTAAAAACGCAACTTAATATTTAAATATAAATGGACGATTAATGTTTAATTTCTCTTATTTGAAAACAAATGTTTTAACAATATTTTATATTTATTGTAATTATTATTATTATATTTATATATTATATTTATACAATACATTGCTAATTCTAAAAATTAGAAAAAGATAAATAGTAACTATAAAAATTTAAAACTAAAAATTTAAGTTAATCTACATTAATGGAAACAGGTATGACTTTTTTTCTTTTTAATACACATACATGCTTACTTTACCTATACTTTTCTCCGGTCCAGAAAGGAGCCAACACATTGAAGAGCACAAAAGACCGTGCATCACAAATGCTACAGATTTTTGCACTTGCGAATTGTTGAAATTAGTTCGTCCTGTTATCCGATGCAATTCCAAGATATAACCGTCATTAGTAGTCACTTTATGTGTCTCATCATTATAGCCGTATTTATTTATTATTTCCATCTGTACAATAGAATGACAGCTATCTAATTCAAATTTATTTGTTTTATATAAAATTAAATATTATTGATACAAATGAAGAAAACTATTATCAAAGCGAATAGACATATACTTCATTAATATTAGATTTAATTTATTAAATTATAATATTAATAAAAACATTCTTTTTGACATTTTAATGTAATCAATGCAAATTTATCAATGAAATTTTAAAAATAAATTTATACATACATACACCTATATAAGTTTATTTCATTTTTATACATGATAGAATTAATTAAAATATATAACTCATTAAATTAATTAATTACTATATAAATATTTAAGAATTTTTTAATAATCATGACGTTTTAGACAAGATGAAAGTTACTTTTATATAGTTTATAATCACGCAAATTTGTGTTGAATGAAAATAAAGTTTCACTTACCGAGGTAAGCAGCCCATCCTCAGGAACTGTAGATATTAAATTCGAAATAAATGGTATCTGTTCTAATGTGTGTGTGGATTCAATTTAGGTATTTTATCTATCAAGTTTTACAATAATCCAACATTCGTGGATGCTAGAATTGAGATGAGAAATATCGGTAGTGACATAATTGCTATGTTGATGAGATTGCTCTGTAGGCCAATGAAATCGAAAAGAAGTAGCTATTTTTTTAATAGCCCCACAGTTATATATATATATACGTGCTTATGTACGATATCATTTATGGATGATGAATAACGTGTCTGGGACTGTACGCAATCTTATTCAATGCTACCTGTTAACTTATCTTAATTTCTACTTTAATAATATTTACTATATAAAATATTATATTTGATTATTGTAATGATCAATATAGTAAGCTATAATTAAAAAAAAGAAAATATAAAAGATAGGCCTTATCGTTGTTTAAATGAATCGACTCACGAAATATTTTATGATCATTTGCATATTGTATATCCGAATATTTGTTTTTTTTTCATTTAATCGAAAATCTAACGAAAAAAAAATTGATAAAAGAGTTACCTTTCAATGTGTTACTTCAATATAATTCGCGAATAATAAAATTCTTTGCAATCCTTAATAAAATTATCAAATTAAAGATCTATAATAACTGTAATATCAAGGATATATCGCATTGCTTGAGAATTTAACAGTACATTATTTAAAATTAATCAAATTAATAAGTTAAATAGTAAGTTCATGAATAGTCTAAAAATATAATGCAAAAATATTTATATTTACTGACTAAATATTTTATGTAGTAAATATTAAACCAAAGATCACTGTTGTGCAAAAATTCATACAAAAAATTATAGAAGTCAACTTCTGGTTATTAAAAAACAGTTTGCACGTACATATTTTTTTGAAGGAATTTAGAAAAACGGTTTTTTTCTTACAATTACTATTTCTTACAATTACTATTTTATTATTATTAGATCGAATAACAATGTTAAGATTTTCGAATCGTCTTCACTGTCTTTTGCATGTATGTTTCTAACGACACATGCACTGGTAACGAGAGGTATTTCTCAGCCTCCTTCTATTGTTTCGCCAAGTCATTTACGTGCCGTAAAGTTGAAAGAGGAAGTCTATGTGCTCTTAACGCGTGTAGACGAAAAGTCTTAAGCTTTTTAGCTAGATACTGAGTGTAGGCCGGCTAAATATAGCGCTATTTCTTTTCGATCAGTACCGCGCGATTCATACACGCTCGACGAACCGGCAGGTATATTCGCAATGACTGCGTCGGATATTTCGGAAATAAGTAAATATTCGAAGAGTAAAAATATTGAGTAAATAATATAAGATATTCGATTGTTTTAGCACAATCTGTATGTAAAGAGATTGTTTATACAATTATTCAATTCATTACGTGTTATTCATAATTATTTATTTACTGAAATTAATATTGGCATCCTGGATAACGTGAAAGTTTCATATAAGGATATCAATATCTTTAACTTTATCTTTAAACACTCGTTACATTTGATTATTGTCGAAAATGATATGTTTAAGTTTAAACATATGTGAAAGTCGATAATTATTGCTTATCTTCCTAAAGAATGTATTCGAATAAATATTATTTTTTTAATGTAACGATATGATAACGTACAAATCGTACATGACAACAATTATATGTGCACAATTTGCACATTTAAATAAGAAATTCTTATAGGTATTATTAATTCTTATGGCTATTATTTAATGAATAATAATGTTTTATTTATACCAGCATTCATGTATATATATATATATGTGTGTGTGTGTATATATACCGACGATGTATATTTCGTATCCATTTTTTATTGAAAAGAATGTAATGTTCGATACTTTTTTTTATGCACTTGACATATATATATTTTTAAAAAGGTATTTTTTAGGATCGTATATGTTCGATTCGATTTTATTTTTAAAATTATTTTAAGTCTACTGATCTGTCTAGACAATGTTATTTACATGCAGGCAATAAAATGACTGTGTACCTCAAAATTGTGCTTGCGATGACTTTAAACATAAGATCAGAATATGAATACCATCTACAGATATATTGAATATTTGTTGATCAAAGTGTTTCTGTTATATGTTTGTGCATTTAAATATCTTTATACGTATATAACAGTATTTAAAACGATGAGATGTAAAAAATAACCGATTCTAAACAAATTTTTGTATTTAATCAATTGAATTCTAGAGATTCAAAAATAATTAAAGAGTATCAACGTTTTCAACTGTTGGTATACATTCGATTGTTGATAATTTATAATACAGTTTTATTACATTTATTATGATTTATAATTATGTACTTTTTATAAATAATATTTTACAATTAAAATAAATGCATATTTACGATCATAATATCACATATGTGTGTATATATATATATATAGTCGCAAAATTACATTTCTCTCTACAATTATTATTCGTAAATTGCAAAAGATTTTTATTACAACTTTTAATGCGATATATATGCACTGGGCAACAAAATTAACGCAACACCTGTTCACTCTGCAAAAATAGGCAAATTTCAAGATACAATAACTTCTTCAAAAATTGTCATATAGGGATGTTTAAAAAAGCATTTTACAGGTAGAAATCTCTACTTTTCGGATTGCTACTTAAAAAAACGGTCTCATGAAGATTTCATGAAGTTACACAAACATAAATAAAAATATAAAATCTCAAAATTTTTTACAAAATTTGCGGAGTTCCATGAAGTGGACTAAAAATTGTATACAAATGCGATTTACATCATTCGAAAGAAGTAATTACATAATTCAAATTGCGCTTATTATATGTACGTATATGTACATACTTTTTTATTGCGATACATACTTGTACGTGGAGTTTTATAATTTAAGAACACAAAATCAAGTTTTTATAAATTTTATTCTGTTCAGTTTTTTAAACAATTTAAAAGAAGACATAAATTGTATAAATTGTATAAAACATCGTTTCATACGGATTTATATTAAATATAGTAAAATCTAATGAAATTGGACAACAATTTTTCAGAAGATAGTTGTACATACAAAAAAACGCTATTTGCACGGTGATTATTGCTCTGAAAGCACGTAACAACAGGTTGTGAATAGATATTTAATATATAAATACAAAAATATTAGGTTTTATGCACAAGCACAACAAAGAACTCAATAACAATTATTATTTCGTAGAAATCTATTTTGTCGATTTATTTAACAAACA